GCCAGAGGCGAAGCCGCCTATGACCCGCGACGTCAATGAACCTGTAGATGGCGTGCGGGATACTGAGCAAACACCGACGAAGGATAGCCGACCAGGTAAAATGGCCCACGATGCGGTGAAGAAGCTCTCCAGAACAGAAACCCTCGTCCAGGATGCCCTTGATGGCGAGACGCACCTTCCAGCAACGGCGATGGCCGACTGAGATGCGCCCGCTGGCCCTGTCCAAGGTCATACCGGTAAACTGCGCCTCGGGAAGTCCGTGCTCGAGCTCCTTGCACTGTAGGCCGTCGGCCGCCAACTGCGCGTACAGTCTGCGGGCCATGCCCCTGACGACGTCGTCATCAGTGCCCACGACCCCAGCGTTGTCCACATAGATGGCGGTGCCGAAGCCGTCGCCAGTGACGTCTGGAGCCTGCTTCTTGTCCAGCAAGAAGGCCGAGGGCGGCACGCCCGCCCGAAGAGCGCTGGCCGTGACCATGGCCTGACAGAAGTAGAGCGCCCAGGACCAGCCCATCGCCATGACCTCCAGGTGTGGTGTGACGTAGCCTGTGGACGTGAGGCCCAGCTGGTCACACAACCTGGCGTCCACGCGGCGGAGTTGGCTGGCCGAAACTCTGGGGAGGGCAAACCAGTCCGAGACCCCTGGCGGCGCCTTGCATCTGTAGAAAGCGTTATCAACGTCCATCTGAGACAGCACCAGGTCATCCGTGACCCCGATCTCCATGGAAGCCCAGGACGAGGGAGTCGGGAGACGAGAGTGAGCTGGCTCATCGAACATCATGTTCACCGCTCTGGTGTCTAGGATCATCCGTAATCTGCCGTCCTTTTTTGCAACAAAGAAAATGCCAACGGTGGCCGACCGTTCAGGTCGGAGAGACACAAGATTGGCCCGTACCATCTGCATGATGAAATCGGCATAGCGTTTCTGATCTTTGACAAGTGCAGGATCACTATAAGGTTGAATTGTGCTAGTGGTCGCGGTCGAGAGGGAATCTACTCTGGTCCGCAAGTTCGTCGAAATAGACCTCCAGCGTTGTAGAGCCAGACCGGACAGCACCTGCTCGCCGTCGGCCAGACCGCCCATCCCGGGCAAAGAGACTAAGTCAGGCTGGAAGCTGCGCCGAGGATCCGTGTCGGAGTACCCAGGGCGACTGCCGCCAAGCTCCGCAAGGGCTTGCGCGGCTGTGCAAGGAGGCGGTGGTATCGACCTATAAATGTCGGTCAGCAAGCGCACGCCGAGGTTCTGGGCCTCTGAGACCACGAGCCCTGGCGGAGGATGAATTGTGCAACCGTACATCTCGTTCAGACACTCCACTGCCGAATTAACCCAAGTCTGCCAATGCCAACGCATGTGAGAACGACGTCGAACAGCGCGGCACCCAGCGACCTGGAACCAAAATTGATCTTCTCGGGGGTAAGGCTGCGCAAGAGGTAACAACTCTCGCGACACTGGCATCCCTGATATAGGCGACTGGACGGGACCCCAGCCGCCTGTGGCTCTCAGGTCTTCTGGGCTGCCGCGGCTGCAGCTGCAGTGGCCTCTCTCTGGGCCTTGGCAGCGGCCTTGGCGGCAGCCCTGTCGGATTTGCCCTTGCCCTTCCCGTCGGTGATGGGAAGACCTGGCACATCATGCAGAGACGATAGCGGCGGTGGCCGCTGGGAGTGGGATGCTTGTCCGGCCTGCCTCCTCTCCTCGTTGAGCTTCCTGGACTCTTTTGCGATGGTCGACTCGCGATGCAACTCTGAGGCCACATACTCCTCAAGCAGCGGGCATAGCATCAACTGGCCTCGAGTCTCGCCCACCCCCAAGTACAGAAACTCGTCCTGAAGGATGTCGTCGATCTGGCTGTCGGTGCGCAGGAGCCTGTGCTTGTAGCGGTACTCCGCCAGTTGAGCACGGCGAAGCAGCAGTTCCACAAACGCAAGCTCTGAGGCGTTGACTTGATCGTATGTCAGGGCATATTCCACCGCTTTCATGGCCGTCTCGTGGTCGGAGACTCCAGGGTCGGCCACTGAAAGAGCACATGTCGACTTCCACCACGAATGACGAGCCCGAGGATGCCCGTTGGTCTGCAGTATGAACTGTAGGCACCACTTGGTAGTGCGTGGGCCCGTGAGAGGCCATGAGTCCCACTCCGTCTCCGACGTGAGGTCGACCGCGACCTTGAAGTCCTTGAATCTTTTCCCGAGCCGATCCCTAGTCACCTCCAGTATGCGAGCGTCCAGATCTACATCGTCTCCGTCGTCTCCGCCACTGGTGACTGGATCCCGATCAGAAATCAACTTGGTGACCCCGTCCTGCATGAGAATGCCGAAGTCGCCGCAGATGGCCCAGCCGTCGCCAGCTGGCTGGTCCAGCACCTTGCCCTCGGCAGTGCTGATGTCCATCCAGCGCCGAAGCGGCGCCGGCAGGCGCCCCGTGCCAAAGATGAGACCGAGGTCGCGGCCGACCCTCAGCGCCACGGCGTCCTCGGGGCTGCTCGCTAGCGGCAGCAGCGGAGGCGTAGCAGCACCGATGGGAGTGGCCGTACCATCAGCCCCGCCTGCAGCAAGGTCTACCTGGACGATCGGCGCCACGGGGTCAACGTCGTCGTCGATAGCGGGAATCGGTCTCCGAAGATTCTGAGCCCGACATGCTGCTCGAGCTCGTTCGTACTGAGCTGGGCGTGGTATCTGTCCAAATTCGAAGACCCGTCCCCAGTGCGACTGTGGCCCTAGGCCCTGCCCGACGATCGGCGTCCCCTCGAGATCGCAGGGTGCGACGGCGAGCAGTGGTGGACAGCTCAGCTCCTCCGGGTATATATCCCCAGTCGGCGTCATTACCCAACGAACTGTGGCGGCTGGTACGTCGGGCGGTTCGCCCATGATCCTCTCCAAAGTGGCGGCGTCGCTGTACTCCAAAATCAATCTCTTGTGCCAGAGCCGTCTCTCGGACTCGTATTTCACGATGATCTCGCGGCCTGGGCGAAGAAATCTCTGAGCTAGATCCGTCATGTCGGCGGCAGTACACAGAGTGACCCGCCGCCCCGACCACGATCCCTGCAGCAAACGTCACCGCTGAGAAGGCGTACGGTGAGCCCACGTAAGTGCTCTGAACAGCACAGGTGAGTGCAGATGAGGCTATCGGCGAGAGGGAAGGCCAGACCACCTGGCCCGCCTCCCACAGGGCGTGGGCTGCCGTGAGAAGCATGCACCTCAGGCGTCGCCGCCCCAAAAAGACTTGAGCGTAAACAGTTGCGGCCAGGCACCGAGAGAGAAAGACGTTCCGAGAACTGTAGCATAGCTTCACACGTTTAGCCTTGAGCCAAAATGGCTACGGACCTCCTCCTCCTCCTCCTCCTCCTCCTCCTCCTCCTCCTCCTCCTCCTCCTCCTCCTCCTCCTTCTCCTCCTCTTAAGCCCGCCAGAGGTCTGGATCTCCACGGAGGCCCAGAGAAGGACGAAACACGCCCAGATCCTCTCGAAGTTCGACCCCCGAAGTTCGTACCTCCCCGCATGGCCACCCGACCAGGGGGACCGACCCCGAGGTCCGACGACACAAAAAAAAACACAAACATCATGAAAGATGACGACTGGAGCCCCGGACCCCCTCCTTCTGCTGCACTTCCGAGTCGGATCGATCTGTGAGGGTCTTAGGGGCCAAACTTCTGCAAGGTGGCAGCATCCGACTCCCCATCCCCGCCAACAATCGAGTCTCCCAAATCGATGCGGGGGTAGGGCTCGGATTTCGCCATGTGTTCGACGACTTCCGAACCCTACCCCCGCCGCCCATCGAGTTGCCTGGGTCGTTGATTGGGGGAGGGTAGGGTTCGGAAATTCGCCGCCGACCTGCGAAAACGACCAAGTCGGCACGGCGCCGACCTTGTACTGTGCCGAGGGCAACGGCCGCGTTGTCTACAGACGCATCCACCCCACATGCGCCCACATACGCAACGACACCCGATGTGCCTATAGACGCATACGGCCAGAAAGTGAGAACGGCATTTGGCATCGACCCGAGGCTCACAGACCCCCGACGTCATGACTGTTTCGTGACGTCGGCCCCCAGAGGTCTCGACGCATGTCCCGGGACTGGCTCTTCGTCCTGAGCCGTGCTTGGACGGCCCCGACGCCCGGCGACGGCCCCCCGAGGCCGAAAATAGCGGAAAGCCTCACGTCGTAACTTCCTCAGGACCCAAGTGCGTCTGGGGCACTGGCCTTCCAGAGGCAGGCACGACTTTGCCGCCCAAGCCCGACTCGAAAAAAATAGGCCGAATGGATCTCGCCGGTGCTCGAGCCAAACGGTGTGCTTCGCTCTCGTTGTGGATTCCATTTCCCTTTTCCTCTGCCTTCGGTCTGGCTCTGCTCCGACACGAAGCCAAAACGAACGCGGCCCACGAAATCGCCAAAACACCGTTTAGCTCGAGCCCTGGATCTGGGGGGAGGGGCCCGGGAGCCCCAGCCCGGCGGCTGTCGGGCCCAGACCCCCGACGTCGCGACTTTTCTTCAGGACGCGGCCCCCAGCAGTCCAGATCCCTTCCCCAGGACCGACTCTTCAATCCCGAATCCCTTCTTGACGGCCCCGAGGCCCGGGAAGGGCCCCCTCGGAGCCCGACGACCGCAGAAGACCTGGCCGTCGTGACTCCTGCCGCAGCGCGAGGGGGGCCCGGGGGGGGGGCCCGAGAGCCCCAGCCGGGGCTCTCGGGGAGGAGGAGGAGGAGGAGGAGGAGGAGGAGGAGGAGGAGGAGGAGGAGGAGGAGGATGAGGAGGAGGAGGAGGAGGAGGGGGGAGGAGGAGGAGGAGGAGGAGGAGGAGGAGGAGGAGGAGGAGGAGGAGGAGGAGGAGGAGGAGGAGGAGGAGGAGGAGGAGGAGGAGGGGAGGAGGAGGAGGAGGAGGAGGAGGAGGGAGGGGAGGGGAGGGGGAGGAGGAGGAGGAGGAGGAGGGGGAGGAGGAGGAGGCCGTCGTGACTCCTGTCGACGGGGCAGCAGCAGCGGGCGCCGCCGGGCCCCCGCCACGGGGCGCCTGTCCGTGGAGTGCGCCCAGGCGCCGCCGCTGGCGCGCGAGCGGACGAGACCTCGGCGGCGCACGCTCCGATGCGGGCGGGCGCGGGGCCCCACGGACGCGCCCCCGACGATCTCTCGGACAGGAGGAGGAGGAGGAGGAGGAGGAGGAGGAGGCTCGGACGTCCCGGACCTCCGCGAACCGTGGACAGATCACGACGGGAGGTCGTTTCGCTTGTGCCGGGCTCCGGGGGCCCTTCCCGCGGCCTCGGGAGCGTCAAGAAACGACTCGGGATGAAAAGCCGGTCTCGGGGGAGGGGTTCAGACCTCTGGGGACAAATCACGACGCCGGGGGGCTGGGGTGTTCGTCGATGCCTGGAGGTTTTCGAACGTTTTCGTCGATGGCCGGAAGCTTTCCGGCATTGGGATGCTTTTCAGCGGCAGCGCCTCGTCGAGAGCGTTCCAGGGGTGCCCGAATCGTCCCGAGAGGCCGCCGGAGGCCCGAGTTAGGGCCCGCAGACTATTGGGGACCCAGATATCCAACGTGAGCCTCCTGGTTGCCAGCCTCTGGGGGTCGTGATGCACCAGGACCATCGAGAAACGACCCTGGGGTACAAAGCTGCCCCCAGGGAAGGGTCGCCGACTGACCCTGAGATCCTGGCGTTGCAATTTTTTCTCAACGGGAACGTCCGCTTAATTTCGAGCCCCGGGACCCTCACATATCGATCCGGCTCGAAAAATGCTGCAGAAAGATGGGGTCCGGGGCTGCGGTGGTGATGTTTTGCGAAGTGGCAATCATTTGCAACGTCGGATCTCAGGGGAAAGAATCATGGGCTGCTGCTCCAGAGGCGCTGGCCTTACACCTATCAGATAGGGCCAGCATCCGCGCTTGTTGCAACATGTCTTCCCTCAACGGTATGTCTGGGCCTGGCTCTGGCCCCGACCAACCGCGAGCACGCCTCAGCTCGGGGGCGCCCCTCAGGCAGAGCTGCCGCGCCCGGCTTCTCGCGGGCTCCGGCCCCCATGGAGGCCGCTCTCCCCGGCCTCCGTGGGGGCCCGGCAGAGGACGGCTCGGGCGGAAGAGCTGGCCCAGGGGAGCGGGCCAAGATCCCCTGGGGGGCCCTCGTCACAACAGAGTGACGACACCGGAGAAGAGGGACCGCACCGATCCTAGAGAGCCAGCTCACGGAAACTGTTGGTCGCCCCCATGGCGCCCAACAGCGCATCCCATGGCGCATCCTGAGCGCTACTGTGCGCTATTGGGGCGCTTATTTGGGCGCTCTTGGGCGCTATTGGGCGCCACTGGACGCTGTTCGCCGATGTACACTAAATGCAAGACGCGCGGAGGCTTCCGTGATTTACCATCTAACGACCCCGATCCGCCGCCGAACTGGCGGCGCGTTCGGGCCTCAGGATCGAGGGGTCCGAGGCGCCCAGCGGCGGAAAAAACTGGCAACATCGCGAACAAAAACACGACGAGAGCCCTAAACCCTTTTTCTGCGGCACTGTTCGAGCTGGATCGATCTGTGATGGTCTCGGGGCCAAGAACCAAGCGGAAGCTACGAGTGATGAGATTGCAACGCCCCGATCTCAGGGGGGGCATGCATCGAAAAGGTCGAGCCGCCGATGCCTGGGATCGGGGATGGTGAGAGAGAGACCCTGGGCTCCGCTGGACAGGGTTTCGTGGATCCTGCTGAGGGCGAGGTCCGTCTGCTCAACCACGTACTGTAGCGTGCGCTCAGCCATCTGGCCAGGCGTGTGTATCGTCACCTTTGGTACGTTTCCTAAAGGGACGCCAGCGAAAGGGACTTCTGAGACAACGGCGATGCATTTGAGACTTCGAAAAGCGCGAGTGAAAGCGGCATGCGGCGACCTTGTGGGCGAAGCCGAGCGGACTTGAGAAATCGACATCGCCCGTCTCAAAAGTCCCTTTCCCTGGGGTCACTTTTGAAACCACGTGAACCTTGATCCTCTCCTCCACGAGCCTCGTCAGCAGCGCCGCCCACTCGATCTCGGGGTGATTCGTGATGCCTTGCAGCCTCCCCTCGGTGCCGTCGAGGATGGTATTCCCGGTCCCCTCCGCGTGGGCCAGGCATCGGACGATTCGACTTACGTGTTCGAGACGTGGGCCCCCTAACCTCCGACCCTTCCCTGGGGGCCGCAGCATGATCCGGAGATGGCACCGAGGTCCGGAGCTGGCCCCACGAGGCCGAAGCCCGCTCCCGAGGTCCGACGCTGGCCTCCTGAGACCGCCCGTCTAGAGCTCTGAGCAGTTGTTGGCGGCGCGCAAAAGGGGGCGAGGGGGAGGGGGGAAGGCTTCTCAGAAGCACCCCTGCTTCTTAGAAGGCCTCGGCCCTACGTCTATGGAGAAGGCCCGCGCCTTCTCAGAAGCAGGGGTGCTTCTGAGAAGCCTTCCCCCCTTCCCCTACCCCCCTCTGCGCGCCGCCAAAGTTGCTGGATGTCTGCACACGACGGCGACGGCGACGACACGTCACCAAAGCCCGCTGAACATCCATCCCAGGAGCCCTCCCGGGTCCACCCTGGCCAGCTGTCCGAGCTGCGTCCGGCCGTGGCGACGAGAACCCCAAGAAACGCCCGAGCTCCACCAGAAGGCTGACGACGACGACGACGACGACGACGACGACGACGACGACGACAACGACGACGACGAAGACCGCGGCAGCGGCGGCGAAGAGAACGAGGACGAGGACGCTCGACTCGGGTAGGGGAAACATGCAATGCTGAGAGAAAGCATCAGGCTCCTACACGGAGCGCGCTGACCGAGTAGCACGTCCGGTTCTTGAGAGCCGACGCGCGTGCAACACTGATACAGCAGGCACATACGGTCACACAGCTTGACCTAAGAAGCACACGTCAGACGAAGGAAGCCAGGACCAGGACAAATTCAGGTGAGGAACAAATCGAGATTATCGAAGATCCGGCGGCTCTGGTGTCTCGGGCGCAGCGGCCTTCTGAGAGCGTTCCCGAACGCTCCGAGAGCGTTCCGGAACGCTCTGGAGCGGATTCATCCTCGCCCTAGCCCCCGTCCGAATACGGTCAGAATCCCCACCGATGCGCGACTTCGCTGGGCGCCCTGCGAGCGTATCGGAGAGTCGGAGATTCCAGCGAGAGACCTGCTGGCAGGCCAGAGTCTTATGTGGTGTGCCTGCTGCACCCCCAGGAGGAGGAGGAGGAAGAGGAGGAGGAGGAGGAGGAGGAGGAGGAGGAGGAGGAGGAGGAGGAGGAGGAGGAGGAGGAGGAGGAGGAGGACGAGGAGCAAGCACAATGTCAGTGACACGCCACCGTGGGGAGCCCATCCGCGTGCTACTGCTGAAGAAGCGCCAGGCCTTCCGCGACAAAGACGGAGTCACACGCTGTTGGGCTGCCAACGGCAGCGTGTCGTTGATGCTTCTGGTCCCTCCCGAAATGGAGCGGTTTGCCTCCTCCTCCTCCTCCCTCCTCCTCCTCCTCCTCCTCTCCTCCTCCTCCTCCTCCTCCTCCTCCTCCGCTTCTATGCGTCGCGCAGGTTCTTTCCCTGAGCAGGGATGGCAGGCCTACGCATGTCACCGCTCGCGGCCGCTCTGCGAGGCACCCCGCGCCCGACGCCCGAGCCTCGGGTGGGCGCACGCACATCGCGTGTGCGCAGAGGGCACTCGCATCGCTGCCGCGGCCCGTGCCGTGCGCCGCCTCTAGCCAATGGCGGCTGCGGGGGCAGTTTTCGTCCCAGGTCGGTTCCTGATTGTCCCATTTCGATTGGCCCAAAAAGGGGTCCAGCTGAAAGAGGGTAGTGCAATAGAGCTGGACAATTGTGTTGCAGATGTATTGCGCCAGAGAATTGCGTTGCAATGTATTGCAACTAATGCATTGCAAGCGAAGACCCTGCAATACATTTGCGCACTGGAATGTATTGCACGCCCCAAATCTACTGCAACCCCACAAGACTATTGCACCAGATCTATTGCACCACCCCCTTGTAGCTGGACCCCCTTTTGGGCCAACCAGACCCATACCGCCGAAAATGGGATCAAGAAAACTGTCGTTTGAGAAATCGGGGCCAGCTTCGCGGCAATTTCTTGAAACAAACCTGGCCAATTTTCTCACGCCGGAGGGGTGAACGTGCTCAAGAGACTGGGCCAGCTCTCCGGCAAGCTGGCTGAGAAACGCTGGCCCAGCTTTTCGGGAGGAGGTTGCTGAGTCCGATGGCCGACTGTAGCTTTCGTCCCGGATCTGTGCCTGCGTGTCCTGGAGCCCGACAGCGGACCCCTCTGGAGCCGAAACCGCAGAGAAACGCCCGGAATAGTTTAAACCAAAAACAAAACAAAACAAAACAGAAAGCCAAAGCCTGTCGTCGGAGAACTCGGCCCCCTGTGGCTCTCGGGTGAACTAACGCGTGCCTGTTCGGCGGCCGCTCATGAGGACCCTGGCACCCCCCAGAGCACCCTGGGCGAGGCGCAGCCACTGAAGAGCACCCCGAAGCTGGAAAACCTCTGGGAACCGACGAGAACGTCCGGAAACGTCCGGGGCCGAGCAGACCACAGAGCGTTGGAAACCCCGCCATCGCTCGGACGTTCCCTCCCCGGTGCCCCTTCTTCAGGCTTCGCGCACGCATTGTTTCTCGCAAGAAGAGCCCAAAAGAGGCGCCCCGACGGCCCTCGCCGAGGAGAAAAAAGTGCACACGTCCGAGCGGTGCCAAGAGTCGGGGGCGTCCAAGAGGGGGGCGTCCAAGAGGGGGGGGGGTGCAAATCATGGCCCCAGGCATGTGCGCGGACCAAGGGGGGGGGGGCCAGGGAACGCACTGAAGTGCCAGGAAATCTGGGGAGACAGCATGGCCCTGGCCATGTCGTCCACCTCCCCCCCTGGTCGTCAACCCCCCCCTCTCCTGGCCGCTCCCGAAAGAGGTCGGGGCTCTCTGCCCCTCCCGAGAGCGAGGAGAGCCGGGCCCTGGCGGGTCTCGAGGGAGGGAGGCAAGGGAGGGAGGAGAGGGAGGGAGGCAAGGGAGGGAGGAGAGGGAGGGAGGCAAGGGAGGGAGGCAGGCAAGGGAGGGAGGCAAGGGAGGGAGGTGGGAAGCAGGGAGGGAAGGAGGTGGAGGGAAGCAGGGAGGGAGGAAAGGGCGGAAGGCAAGAGAGGAAGGTAGAGGGAAGCAGGGAGATGGAGGGAAGCATGGAGGGAGGGAGGAAAGGCGCCGAGATGTGCGCCAGGAGTGCCACTGGGCCCAGCCTCCAAGAGGCCAGGCCCAGGCGGCACCTGAGGTGAGACCCAGGACCAGAACCCCAGCACGTAGGGGTCCCCCTCGTGCGACGGGGGTGGGGACCCACTCGGACGCCTCCAGGCAGATGGGACAGGGAGGTGGAGGGAGAAGATGAAAGGAGGGGGAGGAGGAAGAGGAGGAGGAGGAGGAGGAGGGGGAGGAGGAGGAGGAGGAGGAGGGGGAAGAGAAGGAGGAGGAGGAGGAGGAGAAGAGGAGAGGAGAAGGAGGTGAAGGAGGAGGAGGAGGAGGAGGAAGAAGAAAAAGGGGCGGAAGGAAGAGGAAGAAGCGGAGAAGGAGGAGGAGGAGGAGGAAGAGGAGGAGGGGGGCAGAGGAGTAGGGAGGAGGAGCCGGAGGCAGGAGGAGGAAGAGGAGGAGGCGGAGGAGGGTCGGCCGATCGGTTGGTCGATCGGTCGTGGACCACGGGTGGGCCTGTGATCGGATCAGTGGTGGTCGGAGGGGGGCACCTATGGCTGCCCAAAGCCCGAAAGAGAGGATGAGGAGGAGGAGGAGGAGCAGCAGGAGGAGGAGGAGCAGCAGGAGGAGGAGGAAGAGGTGGAGAAAAAGGAGGAGGAGGAGGAGCGCAGGGAGAAGGAAGGGCAAGGCGGAGGAGGAGGAGGAGGAGGAGGAGGAGGAGAAAGAGGAGGAGGAGGAGGAGGAGAAAGAGGGACGGGGAGGAGGAGGAGGAGGAGGAGGAGGAGGAGAGGCGGAGGAGGAGGAGGAGGAGGCGACCCTGATGCGCCGCGCCGCGCGGCGGGGGCGAGCGCCGCGCGGCGCTATCAGGCCCGCTTTCGAGGGCGGGGCTCAACGCGGCGGCCTCGCCCACGGCCGCAGGTGCGCATGGTCGTCGACCTCCCCAGCTGCATCTGGGCATGCGGGCTTACTTCGGGAACTCGCTGTGCGCGTTCCCGCTTGTCGGCCCCGGAGCGGCCTGCTTACCTTCCTGGGTGATGCTCTGCAGGCAGGAGCGGCCGGTTCTTGATAAGCACGGGCTACGAGACTATGAGCGTCGGCGTGATCGACGAGACATTCACCGTCATCGTTGGCAAGGCGGAGGCCACCGAGGTCAGGGTTGGTGTGAACCTCGGCAACGTCGTCGGGATTCTCGACATGCAGGTGATCGAGCGTGGAGCCGTGCAAAGGCTGCGCGACCTCGTGCCGCATATTCATTGCGTGGCGAGGCCGCGGACGCCCAGGACGTGTGCTTCCTGCTGCTACACTATACGGCGCAGCTCAACAACAAGTGCCTGTCCACGAGTCGGGGACGACGTCGGGGTAATGTGATATATATATATATATATATATATATATACGTTTTCCCCCGTTTTCCCAGGGAAACGACGAAACATGTACACACCTGGATCCGGTATACACCAAGATCCGCGTTCCTGTGCGAATTGCAGTGCGGGGCCGGGAAAAGCGTCGACGTACAGAGTTCGGCTCCTTACCCAAACCCTCCTCCAACCCCACCACCGTCATCAATGCACACTCGGATGACCACCCTCGGGCGCGAGGCTGCACCGAGCCAGCGGCGCCCAGCCCCTGCCACAGGCAATCTCCCCTGCACGGGAAGAGAGATCGGAGCGGGGGGCCACGAGCACCCACAAGATCAGCCACGGACACGATCAGGCGCTCACTTTCGACGTGCAGTTTGAGGGCGACGACGACGAAAGAGCCCAACTGCTCCCGAACCACTCCGACAGCACGCCCCTCGCGGGTAGCAGAGCGCCGGGAGGTCCAGGCGTCGACCGCTCGCTGCCCGCTCTTGCCTGGGCCAGGCAGGCCGCATGCCTGGTGCTCTCGGCCCCGCTCTTGGTTGTCTCCACACGTTG